CCGTCTAAAGTGATTTATATCCGATTTGAATGATTTTAATCCTTTTTGATACCGTATTTTCAGTCCAGAAATCCCGATCGATTCGGATAACTTTTTTTATAATCGGTTTTAATCGAACATTTTCGGCAGGGGATGTATTTCGGGATGCGATTATGTGAAAGGCAATTGCGCGCCGCCGATCGTCATTCTGTCGAACGAAAACTATAGTAGTATTTAGGAACTCACTTTGAAGATGATTCGCGATTAACCCTTTAGATTTAGCATAAATTTTTATCTTAATATGCACAATTTTAATAGTTTCAATATTAATTTAGCTTTAATGTTATATTTTTCTTTTTGTCACATTATTTCTTTCTTATATATAAATTTAAATATTGAGATACAAATCTTATTAAATTATGAAATTAAAAAATTGTTATTAAATTATAAATTTTCATATATATGTTTAAAAAACTATATTAAAAAACTGTTTTAAAATATTTTTTTCAGATTGAAAATTTCTAATCCTGTTCGCGCATGTTTTATTTTCAACAGCTCACTATTCAAAAACATTGACACCTCAACATTTTGCTATTAACATTTTCAACTCAGTTTTTCACGAGGAATACGTAGATGCCAGCTCCTGCGGGTGACCTGGATCACCCTGTATATATATGTGTAACTAATTACTAATTAGTTACGCATATATTACTTATTAACTAATTACTAATTAGATTATTCGTGCACTTATTAACTTATTACATATAATACATTCATATAACACATTCATGCATATCATATGTTATAAGTGTTATAACTTGTATATGTTAAATTAATAGGCAAAACATCGACATCATTTGAAGAATCTAAAGGAAACTAAATCTAAGCTTGCAAACAACAAACGCCAAAATGAAGATAACTCTAATGTTTTTAAAAAAACATTGTACATTTGAAAAATGGAATTTTGAAACAGCTGAATGCAGAATTACTCAAAAAAAGTTAGATACTGCTATATTGCGATTTGTCATTGAAAATATTCAACCCCTTTCAGTTGTAGACAATCCTGCATTCATTGATTTGATTAAACTAGGATTTCTTTCGCCAATTCGAATAATGTGTACAAAAACATTACGAGAAAAACTTAGTCAGTTTTATTTTGATGAAATCTGCTCTTGAAAAACAGTTCGCAGAAATAGAAATAATCTCAACTACAGCGGACTTATGGAGTAAATCAAAAAGGTGGATATTGATATTTCATTTAATTTTTATATTAATATTTTATTTATTAAAGCGTATTTTTTATTATAATTAAGTTAAATCTTTAATTTTTTGTATAAAAGTTATTTAGGAATAACTGCTCATTGGATTGATGAAAAAACTTTAAAAAGAGAATCAGTCGCACTGATCTGCCATAGAATGAAGGGAAGATATACATTTGATATTTTGGCACATGAGATTAATTCCGTGTTTTTGGAATACCACATACAAAATAAAGTGTGTGGCACAACGACAGATAATGGCTCAAATTTTGTTAAAGCATTTCGGTAAAATAATATTTTATGATACTCTGTATAATTTTTTCTTAAATTTTTTATATACCTACATTTATTATATACTCACCCGCAAAAAAACCGGGCACCTTAATTTTAGCTCAAATTTTTAATTTCTTTCAATAGCGGTAACTTTATGAAAAATCATCGTATTGAGATGAACCTAAACTCAAATTAAATAGAATTGCGCGATTGTATTTAAACGCGAGGCCGTTGAGGCCAATAGTCATCTAGGACGGATATCAGTCGCTCAACACGAATTTGTCATCTTGCAATGGTAAGTGTGGCGGTCTGTTCGACTCCACATTTTGGCGCGTTCCGACACGTCATTATGAAACGCGTCAAGCTTCATTACACTACTGCAGTAAAAGATAAATTTAAAGTTAATCGGCAATTGTTTTTCATGGAATACTAAATAATACTCGCAATTAATTAATTAAATCAACGCCGATAGGTGGAAGGTTTTCTCAAATTTAGAAAACGTTCAGCGTTGGGTATAAATATACCTCGAAACGAACCGAGGCAAGCCACTTGCACTCTGGCAATAAATTCTGTACCCATACATCCTGGAGCCTTCTGGAGATACTCAAGGAGGAATACAGTGGAAACTCATTCCGATCGACCTCTCACCGAGTCCTCCAAGAGATCAAGAGGTTAAGGAACCTTGGATTCTTCTCCCGCTGGATATACCCCCGCCAGCCAGAGAGAGACCGCCAAGGAGTCGCCTACATCCTGGGGATCCAAGGATCGCCAGATACTCCTCGCCGAGCAGCGCAGATCAACGGAGAGAAGAAGCTATCTCCATAGAAGAGGACGACAAATTCTGGGAGAGACTCGAAAACACCAAGGCGACGCAGACTGAGGTAACCATAGAAGAAGAGGAAACTAGCCTCCTCTACGCCGACAGGATCTTAGGACCGAAAAAGGTTACAAGAACAAAACCGTCGATCACTTGGAGGGAAAGACTCATATAGAAGAGAACAAACGGCCCTTTTCAGGACCACCAAAAACTACACCAAAAATAAAATACAAATATAAAAATTTGTAAATATCAAAATAAATATTTTCTCTCAAATTAAAAAAGCTGTGAGAAATTAATTCTCCACAGTAAGTAATGATATTCATAATATGTTGTAATAATTATAACAATGTTTTGTTTCTATTTCAGGTAAAGGGCAGCAGCAGCAGCGAGGTTGCAGAATGCGTTCTGCAACCTGTCTTCATACAATTGGACACTGTCAGCGCGTAAAATCTGACAACGATCGACATAGACTCGATCGTTGTCGTCGGTCGAACAATGGAGCCGTTTCGCTGCACTTTTTCGACAAAAATATTTGTGAGGCCCGCAAAGATTAGCCGGTGCCTAAATTACGGAATACCTCGAACATCGGTCGAAATTCCCACGCAAACGCGAACCGACTTTTGTTCCGCTGTTTCGTGAAATGGCGGAAACGAAAACAAAGTGATACGAATTTTGCGTGGGTATCATCGACGACCGCGCTTTGTTCGTCGCATTTCAATTGAACGAGTCGAGTGCCTTTTTCGATGATATTCCAAGGAAAGGCACCAACGACGACGACAATAACGAGGGTCTGCGGCACATCGTAATTAGAGCCGCGCATACGATGCTCATGGACACAAACACGTCCAGGACAGGATTTAAATTCTTGATGCACGACCTGGCCAAAACGTTCCCGGTGATGCGTCCGGATTACCATCTGTTCGCGCTACGCGTCACCAAAACTGATTTACATGCATTGTGCGGCATGCAAATCGCTCGTTTCTACGGCTAGTTACGGATTCTGATTGAACTTCGAATTCGCCAACAAAATGCTGTACGACCAGATTGAAGTCAATCACGGAGATATAGACCTCATGCAAATCCACCGCGCGAACAATCTGGCGTACAGCGACGGCATCAAAGTAGGAGTAATAAGCTGGTTCTAACCCAGGAGCTCCGAGGGGGGAGCGGGGCGGGGGGAATTTGCGCGGGGGAATGACGTCACAGGGGTAACCGCCGAGATGTTTACATAAACATGGGCCATGTATGTTTACGTAAACAATGATAGCGGCG